GAAGAGAAGGCCACAGAAGAAGAGGCTACAGAGGAGAAGGCTGCGAAAGAGAAGGCCGCGGAGGAGAAGGTCTCAGAAGAAGTCCTGGAAGAAAAGGTCCCAGACAAAGAGTCCCTAGATGAAGGGGTCCCAGAAGAGAAGGCTGTAGAGAAGGCTGCAGAGGAGAAGGCCCCAGACGAAGAGGCTCCAGATTCAGAGGAAAAGATCCCAGAAGGAAAAACTCCAGATGCAGAACTGAAGCAGCCGCCTCGAGAAAGTGTGACCGAGCAGTCTTTTGAAAAGCCCACACCAACAGTAAATGGTGAACGTCTAGCTACGACAACAGCCGCTGCACCTACTGTCACGGAGGAGCCTAATGATGAAGTTGAACAGCCAGTTACGGATGTCGATGAACCCATAGAAGACGCGAAGCTCCGTCGCGAGATGCTTGAGTACGGGTTCCGTGAAGTTGGTGCAGTTGTTGCGGAACTCGAGATGGACGAAGAGGGAAGCGAAATATCTGTTGAAGATGACTTTGAATACGACGAAGAAGAAGAAGACGAGGAGGAGGATGAATATGGCCGTACGACACGGCCAGTTCTCACGGAGGAAATTCACCAACAAATGCGTGAATTAGAAAAGAAATTGAATGCTCGTGGGATGTTGAATATAGGGAAAGATACCAGTGTCCTGCCTGAAGAAGTGAGACGGGAATTGGAAGAGCCACGTAAGGTGAAGGTCGAGAAGGCGGAGGAAGAGAAGAAGGCAGAGGAAGAGAGCACAAGCAAGCCGGAGGAGAAGAAAAAGAAGAAAGTGTCATTTGCTCCTGAACTCGATATCGCTCCGGATCCTAAACCTCCTGCCCCCGAGAAAACGGAACGGACCACACGAAGAGAACAGCCGGCGGCAGCGCCTATTGCAGAGTCGATTGTCGAACGCACGTCAGTCAAGGGAGACAATCCTGCAGAAGAGACTCCAGCGACCTCGAAGAAAGTATCTCGATTCAAGATGGCGCGGAGTACAGGCGCTCAACCAGCGGAGGCTAGTTCTCTTAGGTCCACGATGCAGCAAGCAGCTAAAAAGCAACCCTCAGCGCCGCCGTCACCGTCGTCACTCCCGCTGTTTCCCGCAAAGCCCAAAGAGCCAAAGCCGTTCTCGCAACCCATTGTCGATCGCGATATTGAGTATGCTACTCGGCCATCCGCGCCACGACCTCCTGAGGGGAAGACGGTCGCCGACAAGCTTGTCGAGCGGGAAGTGCCCGACCCAAGCAACGTCAGAGCACCGGAGCCCGACGAGCTCGACGAGGAGATACATCGCAAGGAGATCGCATCCGAATTCTACAGGATGAGAAATCGGATGATCCAGCGCAAGGGGGGATTCGTCAATGACGAACAGGCGGTCGTGCCGCTGGACGAGGACCAGCCGCAGAAGCGTGTCAGCAAATTCAAGGCGGCAAGGATGAGAAGCTAACATCCAGCTTCCTATGCATCACACCGTCAAGAGAGGATGGTGTGTGTATATGCGTCTAATGGTAATAGTACAGTACATACAATACAGCACATAAGGTATAATATTTCCCTTTCCTCTATTTCCATCCTCGTCTGTTCCACATCCTTCCTAAACCCTTTTTTTCAAGCCATGAAATTCAAACAAACGGAACTCCATCCCCTCTTCTCCCAACACCACATATCATGCATGCTTGTGTGTATGTACAGTACATACGTACATGCATACATCATGTATGTATATGCAGGTCAAACAGGGAGAATTCCATAACCATGATCAGACTCGTCCTAGCTACCTACATACCTACCTACCTACCTACCTACCACCTATCCAATCCAGGTGGTCTGGTCTCAGGTATGGTAGGTAAGTACCAGGTATCATCCATTTTCCATGATGAGTCTGATCACATCCAGATGGGTTCCAAGATCAAAAAGGAGGCTCTCTGACTGCGTCATCCCCCTCCTCCTCCCTACCTGCTCACCGGATTTTTACATCTGGGACTGGTGGGTGGGAGTTTTGTTCAAATTCTGTGGAGACGCGGTTTCGTTTCACCTTCTACATACCCATACCATAGGTACCTTGAGCGTAGGATACGTTCGTGATTTTTTATTACTCATGGCTGGCTAGCCAGCTAGCTCGCTGTAGATTCCATAGATCTTAGAGGAAATTCGTATAGGTACTCGTAGCTGGTTGAGTATATATATTACGTGCTTACGTTGGTACAGTACATGCCTCGTAGAGTAGATAGATAATAGCAATAATGAGGAACGGGACTACTCTATTCAGAACGCAAGTTGCGATGTCATCAATAAATAATTGATTAGCATTAGTCTTGTATTCATCTCTTTCTTTCTGTTTTCCGTCATTAAGATTTCATCCAGGTATACAGGTAGATCGATTAGGAAGGAGGTGCTTTTCCTCCTTTTTTTGTCCCAACATCTCGTCATAGTCATAATCGAGAAAAAAAAAGATACCCAAGAACTTTTTTCTTCTTCGACCCTTTTAGCCAACCGAAACGCCGAATATGCAGAAGTCAAAAACCCAAGATCTACCAAGAGAAAAAAGAAGAAGAAGGGGAATAAAAAGAACTGCGTGAAAAGACATGATCGTCGTCGTTCGTCATCCAGGGTCACAGGCTACGGGCTAGACCAACACCGCCATCGAGCTTGGGATATCCCAGATGCACATGGTCCTCGTCCTGATGCTCCACACCACCAACGCGATATGCATGATTAGTGAAAGCACCTGCACTTTCATGCTCGTGCTGCCTAGCGTCAAAACAGCGAACACCACGAGCGGGTAGTACACCCACGGGTTCACGGCGAGAGGAACGCAGGACTGCAGAGCGACCGTCAGCTTGAGGATAAAAAGTGCGAATCGGATGTTGGGTAAAGGAATCTGTCCCCAGGATCCGAGTCTCGCGTAGACGAGAAATGAATTGCTGCTGACAGACGGGTTGGCAGGCGGCGGTAATAATTGTGGCCGTCGCTGATGGTTGTGGACGATTGGACGGGCGTGATGTTGTTGATGGTCTTCAGTTGCCTGGGGTGAAGAGGACGACTGTGTACCCCGGAACCGGGGATGAAGCACCAAGTTGCGCTCAGGGCTGCGGGAGAAACGGTTGTCCGTTTCGGACTCAGATACTCGGCTAGGACTCTTGGTGCTCTTCGTTTCATATATTCCGTTCGCACGGATAGGAGCGGCTGTGGTGTTCCGGGGAAACGCTCTTGCGGTTGGGGAACGAGACGGTCGAGGGCTTGCCGGCGCTGGACTCTCAACAGGCTGAATCCGGGAAGAGGAACGGAACTCTGGTCCAGCAGAGCCGGCCCTCGTGAATCGACGGCCCTCATTGCCATTGACGCCGGCCTGGATGCTATTCAGGACTTCATCTGCACTAGGCCTGCGATCCGGATCCAAGGCCAAGAGCCTCTCTAGGATGGTGTATAATTTGTCTGGCAGATCTGGCCTCATTTTCTTGAGCGTATCATCGAACCCCTTCCATTCGCTGATCTCCGCACGGAGCTGATCCAGGTCCTCCTTCTCCTCGATAATATCCGCGTGGCGGTACGGAAGCTGCGCAAAGCAGAGAAAATGGAGAATCATCCCGAGAGAGAAAACGTCGGATTTAAAGGTGAAGTTGCCAAAGGGGCCATTGGGATAAACTCGCCGCAATACTTCGGGAGCGCAGTATGATACCGTCCCGGTGGTGCCGGTCGACTTGCGCACCGCGTTTTCCGACTGCACCTCTCCGAAATCACTCACTAACACCCTCAGTTCGCGGCCGGTTTCATGGAGCAAGCAGTTGCTAGGCTTCAGGTCGCGGTGTATGTAGCCATTGATATGGAGAAAACGCAATCCGGAGGTAATATCCTTGAAGAACGAGTAGATCTCCTCGAACTGGAGCTTGCGAGGACCGGGCATACCCACTGGAGGATCTGGTTGGCCCTTTGACCTTCTCCTAAGACGCTCCTTCAGCTGCTGCGCGGTCATGGAGGTCTGCGCAGGACCATAAACGTATTTCTGGAGGTCTCCCGCATTGCAATACTGCTGCAGAATGAAGGCACATGGGACGCTTGGTCCAAAGGTGCTGAGTTGGGCGTTCTCCAGCCACACATGCCGGTATGACACCAGATTCTGATGCGAGAGATGCTGCAGCAATTGCACTTCTGCCAGAACCTTTTCCAGCCACTCATGATCGTCCCCAACAGGGACCCGTTTGCAAGCAAAGTGGCCCAGTGAAACGCCATCGAGCACATGCCTCACCAGAAGGACAACCCCTTTGCCCCCTCTCCCCAGCTCCGCCTCCTCGACAAAGAACTTCTTGAAGTAGCCTTGGCTGAACGCGGTAGACGAAATCCCTTGCGGAGACGATGTCGTTCTGGCATGGTCTGGTCCGGTGGTGGTCGGGCCATCTGCGAGAGCTGGCTGAACGAGGCGCCGGCGCGGAGAGTGAGGAGGAGAGGTCGCTTCGGCTGAACTGGGCCAGCTGTCATGGAGCAAGCGAAAATAATCGGGGTTGACAAACTCAGGCTGAGCAGGACCTGACCCGCGACGCGCATTCTGGCCAGCTTCTCGATCTCGCATGGGACGGCGGCAGTAGGGGCAGTCCGTCAGCTCGACGTCCAGGTCGCCATTGCAGCTGTCTGCACTGCGGAGGACGAGCTGCTGGGAGTCGCGGTCGAGGACCACAACGGAGTCGTGATGGCGGCTGCTCAGGCCAGCGATGAGAAAGACGTTCCTCCATTGCATAAAGGGACACTGGGAGACAGCTTACAGTACAACGTCGCGGTTGGAGGAGTACGGCACGATAGACATGCTTCGCGGTACGTCATCAGCCATGATTGCGGCAACGACAGACCGTCTCGGGACGAATGCTGAAGCTTCAGAGAGTCGGTCATTTTAAGGGCAGCGCCGGCCGACGACAGGAACAGGCCATGACCTGTGGATGTGCCCAACGGGAGCTTCACGCTCGCCCACTGCAGATACGATGCGATGCGATTACTGAAGATGGAGGTCGCCGGAAGCGTTACTGTGGGGGAGAGCAGCCCCACGTGAGTCTGGCCCGGCACCAAGATTTCGCGGTGCAGATCGGATGCACCGCCAACACAAAAGGGTCCTACACTAGCCTACAAAGACACGCGCACAATTCACCTGCCCTGCAGTACGTGCATTTGGTTTCAATAATTCATGTCGATCATGTGGGTATCACAGGCATCTCAGGTCCTGCAACAGAGCCAAAACGGCCACTGCCCAGGCGATAACACAAAGCTAGCTAGCTGCCGAGGTACCTCCAGCACAGTCATTACTATTCCTGGCTCCGGGCTGGAATCGGACTATGGAGCAAGCTCCCCACAGCTGGTCGAGCTTCATCATGCTGTCACAGCGGTGTAGCCTCACGGCCCAGGGGCACAACCAACAGGACCAGCCGAATTCTGTCAACGTGGCAGCCCGCCTGCATGCACTCTTGCGTGGCGGGCTGCATCCAGGTCTGCCGCAGGCCAGTTTGGGGCTCGTTGAAGCTCCAGAGCTCTATGACCCGCCGATTCTAAGCGATAATCCATGAACACGATCTTTAGTTGGCCACCTCAATCGTCCCCTGACGCACTGTCCTCGTTCTCGACCTCCAATTCCTCTTCCTCTTCGTTCTCGTCCTCATCCTCCTCGTCCTCGTCCTCCTCGTCGTCGTCGTCATCGTCGTCGTCGTCGTCGTCATCGTCGTCGTCGTCGTCATCGTCCACATTTATCCCACCTTCAGGGTCGCTGCCATCAAATCCTTCAAACTCCTCTTCGCTGGAGTCTGCATTGTCAGAATGATCCGTATCTCCATTCTCAGACTCCTTGGGTTCTGACTCTGCAGCGTCTCTCTTCCGCTTGCCGAGCATCTCCCCGAGCCTGCCTTCTCTCCCTTCGATCTTCTCGTCCTCGGTTTCTGCCCCATGCGGCGGAGGTGTAAACCAGGGAATCTTTCCCCGCAGGAAATCATTGAGAACCATCTTGGCGACTCCGTCGAGATCGGGCTCACCGCCTCGTAGGAGCCTCCCCCCTTTGCGGGCGAGAATACTAAGAAACTCAGTCGCATCGGCGTAATTTTTGACCTCATAAGTACGTTCTAAATGTCGAGGCTGAACCTTCTTCAGCACCGCTGGAATATATTG